GGACAGGAGAAAACAAATGCACAGTAAGGTGTGAATGACCAATAGGAACTCATTTGCCTTTTTAACAAGTCCACTTAAACCCAAGCAGTAAATGACTCTGGTGAAGAGCCCTGCCTGCTCTCTGTCCAGGCCAGACCTGCTTGACTACTACTCCCTGCGTCCCGACCGTCCACTGCACAACCTCAGCGTTGTTTTCCATGTGGCTGAGCAGGAGCTAGGCATTGCTCAGCTACTGGACCCCGAGGATGTGGCAGCCCTACAGCCTGATGAGCGCTCCATCATGACCTACGTCTCCCTCTACTACCACCACTTCTCCCGCCTGCACCAGGGGCACACTGTCCAGAGGAGGCTCGCTAAGGTCGGTGACAAAGGGAAGGTGGCATCAAGGAGAGGTAGGGGTGAGCATGGGCTCTAGAGTCAGACACACCTCAGTTTGAAACCTGCCTCTGCCACTTCCTAGCTGTGTGGCCTTAGCCATGTCACCTAACTTTACTGTGCTCCATCTGCAAAATGGAGATGATAATGCCTGGGTGACAGAAGGCTGCTATGAGTGTTCAAGGGAGCATGAGTAAAGTGCCTAGCACAGTGCCTGGCACACAGGGAAAGCCAGGTGAGTGATATCCCTTTCTGTCCCTCTCCCTCCCCTACTGCTCTTGGGCTGTTAAGCTCCTAATGTATTGGGTTGTCGGAAAAGTCATGACATTTTTTTTTCTATGTTATGCGTTGCAAAAATGCATCATGACTTTTCGGACAACCCAATAGATTAAAAGGCTCAGAGAGTCGGACTCTGTAAGGACAAACACAGAAGCAGCTCTGCTGGGCTGAGTCCATGTTTTGCGGGGGGCTCTCTTACTCTCTGGGCATGATGGCAGAGGCTGAAGCCTGGGAGAGCTGGTCTCAGGATTGGTGTCTCAGCTGGGCATAGGGAAGATAAGCCAGACCAAGTGCTCTGAGCTGCTTTAGAGGTGTGGGGCCTCAGGGAAGGGAAAGAAGACTCAGAAAAAGGATAGCACCCCTAGAGGTGAGGACAAATTGGGTACAAAAGGATAGAAGAAGGCAGGACAGGAGCCTCACACTCCTGGGTCTGAGTGTGCAATGCGGGCAAAGCCGCTTCTCTGTGGCTTGAGACGACCCCACTTCAGTGTATCCACAGCTGAAGGAAGGAGCTACTGCCCACCTGGGCAACCCTGGTGGGCGCTCAAACTCCAAAAGGGGAATGCCTCCATTCCAGGGCCTGCCCGAAAGTGCAGCCCTGACCCCTTCCCATGCCCTCTGCCAGATCCTGCTTCAGCTGCAGAAAACAGAGGAGCTGCAGACCCAGTATGAGCAGCTGGTGGTCGATCTGTTATGGTGGATTGCAGAGAAGCAGGTGCAGCTGGAGGCACAAGACTTCCCGAACTCCCTGCCTGCCATGCGCCAGCTACTGGTGGCCTTTGCCTCCTTCCGCACCCAGGAGAAGCCACCGAGGCTGCAGCAGCGAGTGGCTGCAGAGGCTCTGCTCTTCCAGCTGCAGACAGCGCTCCGAGCCCAGAACCGTAGGCCCTTCCTGCCTCACCAGGGCCTGGGCCCTGCAGACCTGTCCCAGCGCTGGGCAGGCCTGGAGCGGGCAGAGGCCTCAAGGAGCCAGGGCTTGCAGCAGAAACTCCTGCAGCTAGAGCGGCTGGAAACCCTGGCCCGGCGCTTCCAGCGTAAGGCGGCCCTCCGGGAGAGCTTTCTCACAGACACAGAAAAGGTGCTGGACCAGGCCACAACCCCACCCACCAGCCTGGTCACAGTGGAGGTGGCTGCCCAGAGACTGAGCATGCTGGAAGCCAGCATCCTGCCCCAGGAGGGACGCTTCCAGGCCCTGGCTGAGATTGTAGACATACTCCAGCAGGAGCAGTACCACAGCTGGGCAGATACGGCCTGCAGGTGAACTCCGGGCACATGAACCATCCTCAAAACAGGTTCAAGCCTTCCCACCATACCCCTATCTTTACACATACCCATTCCTAGCCACAAAGCAGAGGAGTGATTTATGAATTCAGGGCTCCCTTTAAAAAGATCTAGCTCCCACTGATGCCTGAAATTCTACCATTTATAATTCATCTCTTTTGGCAAAGCCCTGTCCTCTTTAGGTAGCCTCTTATTGATTCACTCACTAAACAAGCATGTATTGTCTACCATGTCCCATGCACCGTTTTAGGTGCTGGAGGTTTCTCAGTGAAGAGGACACACAAAAACCCCTCCCCTCATGAAGCTTACACACTACTAAGGAAAACAGACAAATAAGAAAAATAGATAGTATGTGAGATAGCGATTTAAAAAAAAAAGGCAGGAGAGGGGAATCTGAAGTGACAAGGTCAAGGGAGGGAGTTATACTGGGTGGCCAGAGGTGCTTCACTTTCTAGCAAAGACCAAAAAGAAGTGAGGGGCCAGCCGTACAGATTTAGGGACAGACAGTACTAGTCAGAGGGAAGAGTGCAGCGTCCCAAGGTGGGCACATGTCTGGCATGTTTGGAAAATAGCATGGAGGCCAGTGTTGGCCAAAGTGAACAAGCAGGAGTTGAGGTCAGGGAGGTACAGAGGTGAGAAGTAGGGCAGAGATCATGCTGGGCTCCGTAGGTCACAGTAAGGACTTGGTTTTTACTCAGATAAAGATGGGAAATCACGGGAGGGCTTGAACAAGCTAACTTTTGTTTTACAATCATCACTCTGGATGCCGGGTCAGGAACAGACTGAAGGGACAAAGGCAGAAGCAGAGCAGCTGGGAAGCTACTGCAATAATCCAGGCCAGAGAAGTAGTGGGGGTGATGAGAAATGGCCGGATTCTGTATATATTTTGAATCCAAGAGGATTTGCAGATGGATCAGATGTGGGGTGTGAGTTATCAAGATTTTAGTCCAGGCACCTGGAAGCACAGTGTTGCTATCCCCTGAGATGGGGGCTGGAAAGGTTTGGGGGGCCATGAAGGCCTGAACCTCCCAGGCCCTCCTGGCTTCTCTGCCTGTGTCTAAGACGCAGGGATGCACTGTCGCTAACCCAAGTCTAGGATGCTCACAAACGTCGTCCAGGGAGTTGGGGCTCATCCAGGGCAGCCAAGCCACCTGACCAGCTGTGGACCCCAAGGCAGCACGCCTGCCTCAGCCCAGTGGAGACCCCTGTTCTCATGCCCTCCAGGCAGCTGGAGATCACACGGCGCTGGGAGCAGATCCTTCAGCATGTCCAAGGGCAAAGGAAGTGGATGGCGGACATGCAGGCTGTGCTACGCCTGCTGCAGGAGGTGGAGACTGCCTCCAACCAGCTCAAGGAGTTGCAGGTGGGCCCTGGACCATCAGACCCCTGGGGAACACAGCTGGCATGTCAGCTCTGGCACTCAGGGGGACCCAGCATTCTAGGACTGCAATGACCACTCATCCCTGGCCAGGTGCTGGCCAGCTCCACCGTCTGTGGTCAACAGCTGGCAGAGGTAGTGGAGCTGCTGCAGAGACATGACCTGCTGGAAGCCCAGGTCTCTGACCACGGAGCCCACGTGAGCCACCTTGTCTATCAGACTGCAAAGCTGGACTCCTCCCTGGGTACTAGCGTGGAGGAGCTACAGGCCCAGGCCCAGGCGCTGGCCCAGCTCCACCAGAGCCTGGTATCTCTTGCCAGGGCCAGGTAAGAGCTCACCCCAACCCCTCTACCTTCTCCAGAATTTTTCTGTAGCCCAAGTTACCTCTTGCCCAGGTTAAAATACTGCTAGCCTGGCAACTTCCTCTACACTGACCCTCACCCCCAAGGCCTCTGTCTCCCCAGTTTGAGTCATCCAGGGAAAACTCCTGTCTACCTAAGGGGGAGTGTCTGAACCTAGTGTGGACCTCCCTCACCCCCAGTGATCCTTACTGTCCCTCAGGCGGACCTTGCTGGAGCAGACCCTGCAGAGGGAGGCATTCCTGTGTGACTGTGAGGAGGAGGAAGCCTGGTTGAGGGAGCACAGACGGCTGGTGGAAGATGTGGCCCTGGGCGGGGATCTTGGCCAGATTGCTGCCGCCCTGCAGAAACACAAGGTGCCTGCTACCCTGTGCCCTGCCTGTCTCCACATCCCTGACGACCCGCCCTTACCCTCACCCAGCTCCCTACTCTGCCTCCTCCAGGCCCTGGAAGCTGAGCTCCGCTGCCACCAGGCTGTGTGCACTGATCTCAAGCAGAGGGGACGTGACCTGGGTGCCCATGGGCTGCTGGATCCCCAGGAGCGGGCCGGGGCGGTGCAGTACGTGTGGCAGCAGCTCCGGGCCCGGGCGGCACTGCGGGGTGCGCGGCTGCAAGCAGCCCTGCTGGTCCAACAGGTAGTGGGGTCGATAAGCTGCTGGCAGCGGAGTGGGGTGTGCAGGGTTGGCCAACACCCAGCCTGCCCTTCTCCCCACAGTACTTCGCAGACGCAGCGGAGGCAGCCACGTGGTTACAGGAGCAGCGGGTGGCACTGGAGAGCTTGTCCTGCGGGCAGGACCAGGCAGGCGCCGAGGCCCTGCTGCTGGACCACCTTCGGCTGGAGCGCACGCTGTGCTCCTTCAGGGCAGAGCTGCAGGGGCTGGATGAGCAGGCGCGGGCAGCTGCTGCGCGGGCATCACTCACGGTGTGTGGAAGGTGCGGGAGTGGGGAGGGGTGCAGGCAAAGGACCCAGAGCCACAGGTCTCCAATACCAAAGGTACCTGTGGTCTCTGTGCTGCGCCTGTCTCCCATGGCCACACAGAGGTGGAAATGCGAGGGCATCTGTGGCCCCTAACCCCAGGGGATCGTGGCCTTCCCCTGGGCTTGGGGCAGGAGGTGTGTGTGTG